AGGATGACCCCCATAGGCCGCTCTCCAGCCTGAGAGCTGGGCTGGCCTTCCCTCCTCTTCTCAGGTTCAGTTGGGGCAGAGATGGTTGGGGGGGCAAGGGGGCCTGATCCTGTGTTCTGCCTAAGCCCACCAGCCCTTTCCTTAGGAGCCCCCTCCACCGGACCCCCCCCACCTGGATCATCTGTATGTCCTCCCCCAGCGGCGTCGCCGAGCACAGAGGGGCCGCGGTGCCGTTACCGCCAGGCTCCAAGCCACCTGCGGGAGCCGCACCCCAGACCCTACACCTGCCCAGGGCGCGGGAGGGGGCACGGGGGTATCTGACCGCCCCGTTGTGTTCCAGCGAGAACGAGGCCCTGTGGCGGGAGGTGGCCAGCCTGCGGCAGAAGCACGCCCAGCAGCAGAAGGTCGTCAACAAGGTGTGCGGCGGGCCTGGGGGCGCCTGCTGGGCCCCGTCCCCGGCCGGGCTGACTGTGCCTTCTGCTGCCCACACAGCTCATCCAGTTCCTCATCTCCCTGGTGCAGTCGAACCGGATCCTGGGGGTGAAGAGGAAAATGTGAGGCGTGGGGGTTGCTGCTCCTCAGCTCGGGCCCTGGGCCGCCCTGTCTCCTCTCGGCCGAGTGGCGGTGGCTGTGGCCCCGGGGAGGCCCTTGACCCCACCTCTCCCCCCCGCCCTGCCCCGCAGCCCCCTGATGCTGAATGACGGCAGCTCGGCACATTCCGGGCCCAAGTACGGCCGGCAGTACTCCCTGCAGCACGTCCACGGCCCAGGCCCCTACTCGGTGAGCGCGCGGTGCCGCGGGGCTGGCCTGGGCAGGGGTGGGCGCTGCTGCGGCTCCTGCCACATAGGCCGCCTCCCTTCGATGGCAGGCTCCCTCCCCGGCCTACAGCAGCTCCAGCCTCTACTCCCCAGATGCCGTCGCCAGCTCCGGACCCATCATCTCCGACATCACCGAACTGGCCCCCAGCAGTCCCTTGGCCTCCCCGGGCGGAAGCGTAGACGAGAGGTGGGGGCCGCGTCCTCCTCCCAGCCGTCCGGGGGAACGGGGCGCCCACGGAGCCGGCTGCTGACGCGTGTGCTCCCCGGTCGCAGGCCGCTCCCCGGCAGCCCCCTGGTGCGTGTCAAGGAGGAGCCCCCCAGCCCTCCTCGGAGCCCCCGGGTGGAGGAGGCCAGTCCTGGACACCCGTCCTCTGTCGTGGAGATACCCCTGTCCCCAACCGCCCTCATTGACTCCATCCTGCGGGAAAGCGAGCCTGCCCCCGCCGCCCCAGCCACACCCCTCACGGATGCAGGGGCCCGCCACCCCTCACCCTCGCCCCCACCTGCCTCGGCCCCTGAGAAGTGCCTCAGCGTAGCCTGCCTGGACAAGTGAGTGCCACCCCCACCCGCCTCCACTGCCGCCTCTGGAAGCGCAGCCGGGCCTCCAGCCAGGACCGTCCTGGAGGGGCTGGTACAGGGAGGTCGTCAGGCTGAGGGCACGGGGTCGCTGGGGGAGGCGCCTGCACATCTGGCCCTGAGCCCAGAGCTTGCTTGTCCCACGTCCCCACTGCCTCAGGAGCCAAGGGTGTGTGGCCTCGCAGGCCTATCCCACCTGCTCTCTGAGCTGCTCTGGCTGCTGCCATCACCCTTTTCTGCAACAGGCCACTGCCCCGTCCTGCTGGCCAGCAGAGGGCTCGCCCCAGAGGCCAGGCGAGCAAGGGCGGGGGGCACAGAGTCCACTGGCCCCCACCTGCAATCGGGGGGCTCTTGTCTTTGTATCTTGCAGTTTGGCTCGCGCTCCACAGATGTCTGGGGTCGCCCGCCTCTTCCCCTGCCCCTCCTCTCTGCATGGCCGAGTCCAGCCAGGGTTAGCGCCGTCCCCACTGGGGAGGGAGGAGGGCTCCGCCAGAGCTCAGGCCCCTCCCCAGCCTCGGACCAGACCCTGGCCTGGCCATGAGCACTTGGCCCTGCCTGGTGAACAGGTGTCCCGGGCCTTCTGCAGCAGGGAGCGGTCCCCCACCCACCCCAGGCTCTGGGGCCCAAGACAGTGCCCCAGGTCACTGACTGACAGAACTGGGCCTCCCAGCCTGGCAGCTGCCACCCATGCAGCCAGAGTCCCAGCTGCTATGCTGACCCGCTTCCTCTCAGGGCGGGGCTGGGCCCCGTGGACACCTCCCAGGACCAGCCAGGCCACCCGTCCTGTAGCACATGTCCACCAGGTGGCCCAGGACCTTCTTGGCCACCGCCTCCAGACCCACGCCTCCTTCCTAGCACGCACCAGGGCAGAGACCAGCCCTCCATAGCCTGCCCACGGTTCCCTCTCCCCATCCCTGTGGTCTTCCAATGTAAAGGCAAGACCTTGTCAAGCCTGAAAAACTGCCCCCAGCCTTCCTGAGCACGGAGCCCCTCCTGGGCCCTCCTGCCATCTTGGCCCAGCTCCCAGTGCTGCCGGAGGTCTTCCTGGCCCCACGGCGACCGGACCAGCCCGCACGGCCTCGGCTACCCTCCCACACGCGTGCCCTGGGCCCACACCGGGGAGGGCGCGACGGGGGGCCCGGGTTGGGGGGGGTGCAGCTGAGGGCAGCCCCCCCACACACACACCCGGGCTTGTGTGTGTGGGCCCCGGCGGGAAGGCATCTGCCTGGGGGTGCGTGGAGCTACGCTTGACCCGTCCCGCCCGCTCTGGCCAGGACCGAGCTCAGCGAGCACTTGGACGCCATGGACTCCAACCTGGACAGCCTGCAGACCGTGCTGACGAGCCACGGCTTCAGCGTGGACACGAGCGCGCTGCTGGACGTGAGCGCTGCCCCGGCCCTTCCCGGCCGCGCCCCGCCCCGCCCCGCGCAGCCTGACCGCCTTCCCTTTCCTGCAGCTGTTCAGCCCCTCGGTGACGGTGCCAGACATGAGCCTGCCCGACCTTGACAGCAGCCTGGCCAGCGTGCGTACGCAGGGCGGGGACGGCGGGGGCGGCGCGGGGGCGGGGGCACCGGCGACAGGGAGCCTCACTCCACCCCTCCTGTCCCAGCAGATCCAGGAGCTTCTCTCCCCCCAGGAGCCGCCCAGGCCCCTTGAGGCGGAGAACAGCAGCCCCGACTCAGGTGAGCGGAGCCCCCGACCCTGCCCGCCGCCCGCACGCCCTCCGGCCGCTGCCCTGACCCCGCCCCGCCCCCAGGGAAGCAGCTGGTCCACTACACGGCGCAGCCCCTCTTCCTGGTGGACCCCGGCTCCGTGGATATGGGGAGCAGCGACCTGCCCGTGCTCTTCGAGCTGGGGGAGGGTTCCTACTTCTCGGAGGGGGACGACTACACAGATGACCCCACCATCTCCCTGCTGACGGGCTCCGAACCCCCCAAAGCCAAGGACCCCACTGTCTCCTAGAGGCCCCAGGAGGAAGGCTGGCCGAGGGGCGAGGCGTGGACCCCGGTCAGCAGCGAGGCCACAGCCCCGTGCCACGGCCTGCTGGAGGCTTACAGCCACACGGGGCCTGACGGCACTGCACGTGCTCAGTCAGGATTGGGTTTGGGATTTTTACATGAGTCCCCCTCACCCCTTCAGTAGAGACCCACGGACGGACGGACGAGACTGGCAGAGACCTATAAACGACAGACTCTACACTGTGGCCTCTCGTGTCTGTTTCCTCCCGCCACCCCCCGGGGTGGGCCCCGGGGACATGGGTCCGGGAGGGGGGCTGGAGGTCTGGGCCGTGGTGGCCCCCTCAGAGGGAAGGTCGATGGTCAGAGCCTAGCCATGCGCGCCTGACTCCACAGGACCCGTGTGTGTGCTCACGATTCTTTATTCAAGGACCTGGAAGGGGGCAGTGGGATGGACCCACAGGAACGCCCTTCCCAAGACGTCCCCACGAGGGGGCTGGGGGAGCGTGGGTGGGTGTGCTGGAGCCTCTTCCTGCCCTCGCAGCCCTGCTCGCCACGCATCCTCAAGGCACTGGCTGGTCTGGGAGCAGAGGAGGGGTGGGGAGGGGACAGACCAGAGTGGCCTACCTGATGCCCTGTGCCCCCAGGTGTCCACCCACTACTCACCATCCCCAGCAGGGCCCAGGGAGTCCCTCTACCCCTGACTCCATCACAGCGAGAGGAGATGGGGGACAGGAGGTTGGGCAGATTCTGGGCAGGTTGGGGGTAGCATGGCCCTTGAGGCCACTGCCCAGGCACCCCCTCACCTGCCTTGTCAGACCACGTCAGACCAGTCTGTGACTGGGGCCCATCGAGCCTGACATGGCTCAAGGTCTTGGACAGAGCCTACCCACCAAGTCCGGTGGGAGTGGGCTCCGGGCTGCCCCCCGTCGGCTTGGCAGGTAATAGTCTGGGAGCACAGCTTCCTGAGGGCCACAAGTAGGCGTGCGTGTGGGCTGCCGAGTGCGAGAACTGGGCGGGCAGGGCTCAAACCCAGGGCAGCGGAGTCCCTCCTGGGTGCCCGGCAGGGGCAGAGAGCTGGTGTTCAAGCCTTTGCGTGGATGTGCTCAGGAGGAAGACCAAGGTCATGGGTCAGGCCAGGCCACCTGCACCCCCCCCCCCAAGAGCCGCCACCCCAAGGGTCCAGGGACTCCGCCGCCGTGAGCATCGCAGCCGAAGAACAGCACCAGCACGCTGCGCCGCCAGGCCACACACTGGTTCTGACTTCGGCCTCCAGCCAGTGCCCCGAGCCAAGGTCCCCTGCTGGGAAGTCCTTGGGCACCGTCTTCTTCCAAGGCCCCAGCACAGGGACCACGGAGCTCTGAGCTGCTTCCCCACCCCGACAACACACACACGCCAGGTTAACAAGGGCAGTGACAGGACAGGACATGTGACCTGAACCAGGTCTTGCTGGGCGGTGGGGGTTGCCGCCTGTGGTACAGAAATGAGTGCCGGGGAGGAGTCGGCCTCACGGGCACCGTGGCTTTGCTCCCGCCCCTCCAGCCAGGACACCGCACCCCCCCGAGGGCACGGGCACCAGAAGGCCAGTGGGACTCCGAGACCCCACCCCCGAGAGCGCCACTAGCACCCCACGACCCTGGCAGGCTGAGGGTGCCACTCCGGACAGCACTTTATTGATCCCCTCAGACCCCTGGGCAGGGTCGGCACAGGTTCCTGGGATGCTGGGCTGCCGTCCCTGAGTAGGGCAGGAAGGAGCCCCATAGGGGCAGAGAAGCCCTGCGGACGGCCAGGCCCCCTCCCCAGCACACAGGTGGGGCGGCGGGCTCCGGCCATGGGCAGTGAGGCGGGAGGAGGCGGCCACAGGCCCAGCCGTGGAGCAGCTCAGGCCCCAGCCACGGGGGCCTCATAGTTGAGCACGTAGTAGTCGTGGACGTACATGAGCACGGCCACCGGCTGCCCGATGATGAGCGTCAGCCACACGGCCGCGTTGCCGTAGTTGCCCTGGAAGAAGCGGCTCACCAGCCAGGCCAGCGGGATCTGGAGAGGCGGGCCCGGGTCAGCCGGCCGCGCAGGACCCAAGGAGGGGCCCCGGGCCGCCGGGGGCGCGGGTCACACTCACCTGCGCCATCATGCCCGTGAAGGCCCAGAGGCGGAACATGTGCAGAGGCACGCTCACCAGGTACTGCAATGGGGCAACGGGCGTCAGCCACCGCCACGGCCACACGCACCCAGGGGGCCAGGGACGGGGCTGACCCGAGTGACGGGCTGCACGCATCTGGGGGACAGGGACAGGGCTGACCGGAGTGATGGGGGCTGCACACACCCCCAGGGACAGGGATGGGGTGACGGGAGTGACGGGGGCCGCATGCGCCTGGAGGATAGGGACAAAACTGGCTGGAGTGGGGGGGCTGCACGTGCGGTGGGGGGGGGCATGGGGCCCGGGGCTGGTCGTGCCTGCAGCGCACTCACCTCGTGGAAGAAAGCCGAGGCAAAGAACACCCCAGTCCTGGCCAGCCACTTGCTGCTGCCCCGGCGAAGCATGGGCTTGTAGAAGTGTCTGCAGAGGGAGGCGGCCGTGGGCCGGGGGCCGTGGGCTGGGGCTGGGCCGGCGCGCACAGCTGCCCGCGACCGCCTCCACTGCCACCCCTCGCCCGCGCCCACCTGAGGCACCATTTGTGCACAGGGATGTTCCAGTTCTGCCAGAAGTAGGTGACGGACTCCGAGTTCCTGGGGGTGGAGAGCAGCGGGTGAGCGGTGAGCGGCGGCAGCCGGACGCCGCCCACCCCAGCCACACACCCGAGGCCACCCACCACCAGTCCCGGTAGAACTCCCGGTCTCCGAACTGCATGAGCTCAGCCACAGCGTTCATGCAGGAGTGAAAGAACCAGTAGAAGAAGATGAGCCAGATGAGGTGATTGGGGACCTGCAGGGGGAGGCAGGGCCGGGTTGTGAGACGCCGCCCCCGCCGGCTCCCACCGCGCCCGCCCCCCCAGGCTGCTCACCGCCAGCTTCAGGAGACGCTCAATGATGCGGGAATAATCCATATCCTGCAGAGACAGAGCTCAGCGGGCTCCCCGAGCGGCTCCCCACCTGCCCTCCACCCCAGCCCGGGGGAACCTGAGCGCTCACCTTGAAAGGCTTCATGGAGTTCTGGATGGTGGGGACCATCCACTGCAGAGGGGGGCACAGCGTCAGCGCCCGGGCTGCCCGGGGCCACCCGGCCCCGCCCCCCCTCCGGCCGGCCCCGCCAGCCCGGCCCTGCCCGGCTTACCTGCTGGATCAGCCCCACCTGGAGCTGAGTCAGAAACAGCTGAGGGAGGAGGCAGAGAGGAGCAGGCTGAGCCCCTCCAGCCCCAGGCAGGCCCCCAGCCTACCCCGCCCCCGCCCCCGCGGCCAGCCCCCATCCTCACCATCTCCAGGAGCCGCCGCAACAGGAAGCGCTTTCGGATTCGGGGAGAGCGGGGGAAGTTGAGCTCATAGCACAGAGTCGGAGCAAAGAGGAAGTAGTACAGATCTGGAACAGGAGGCTGGGGCTAGCACGGGCCAGGCCGCGCCCTGCTGTCCCTGCGCCACTGCCCTTCGGCCAAGTCCCGGGGGGCGTCCTCACCACGATAGGTCAGGTTGTCCGGGTAGCTCACGGTGCGCGGGGCAGCTCCCCCGTTGGCCTTCTTACCTGTGGAAGCTTCAAGCGAGGGGGGCGGGTGAGGCCCTGCTGCTGCCCCAGTCTGGCCCCGAGGCGGGTGGCACAAGCTCTGAGGCCCCAGCCCTGGGCAGCCCCTCACCAGCCTTGGCCCTGGCCTTGGCCCTTCGTTCTCGGCACCACAGGTTGACATCCCGGTAGGAGACGAGCTTGAGGAACAGGATGGTGTACGCCATCAGAGCCAGCACGGAGCCCACTGCAGGAGAGGCAGGCTCAAGCCACAGCCCTCCCACAGCCCGCGGGAGAGCCACAGCCACAGCCCCTACAGGCGGAGGGCCTGGGTCTCGCCTACGGGCCTCGGAGACAGGCTGGGACACGGCTGGGATGAAGGAAGGGGCACACCTGGAGTGATGGACTCAAGCAGCAAGGCCACGGCCGCCGGGAAGCAGAGAATGGTGGCCAGGTTGACCACGTGCAGCAGCAGCCCTGCCTGCTCCGTCAGGGCACCCTGGGGTGGGTGAGGGGGACCAGAGTGCTCAGTTGGTGTCCCGCACCCTAGGCAAGGGGTCTCCCTGGGGAAGGGCTACCAGGCCTGGGGCACAGCCCCTCCCAGGAGAGCTACACACAGCCCTAGTGAGAAGAGCAGACCCCTGGGCAGGGCAGGGGGTGGGAGGGCTCTGCTTACCACTGCCAGGCGCTTCTCCACCTGGAACGCAGCCACAGCAAAGACATTGGCCACTGAGGATGTAAGTGTCACAGGGCAGGTTCAGGCCCCGGTCAAGCCCCGTCCCGTCTCCACCCGAGGCCTTCCTTGGCTCCCAGCTCACCAATAACTAGACACAGGGCGGGCCAGCTGTAGGGGTCCTTCAGGAACAGAGACACCACCTGGATGGGGTCCACCAGGATGCCGTACCTGGGGATCGGGGGATGAGGCCTGAGCAGGTGGGGAGGGGCTTCAGGGGTGGGGCCAGGGCCCTGGGGAAGACACTCACTTGATGAGGTTTTCTAAAAATAACCGTGCATTGCTCAAGATCTGCAAGAGAGAGGAAGGGCACAGCCCCATTAGCCCTGGCCACGGGGTGCCCCGCCCCCCAGCTCCTCTCAGCGCCTACAGGGGCAAGAGCCCCAGGTCCCAAGGGACACATGCACCCTGTGAGCCCAGGCCTATCCGGCCCACACGCCAAGCTCCAAGACTCACCACCCTCCTCACCCCACACTAGCACAGGGACAGGAAGCCCTTCCGCGATGCCCGCATCACCCCGGCAAGAGGGAATCGACCCCAACACCAGACACCAGGGTCTGCAGCAGCACAGACTGACCCGCTGCCTCACAGCCCTCCTCTCACTGAGCTGGCGGGGGCCCCAAGGCAGGGACAGCCACTCCCTGGGGAGTAGGAAGAGGCAGCTGAAGCCCAAGTGCCCCTTGGTACTCACGCCCCCGCCCGTCTTCCGCTCTCCTGTAGCGCTCCAGACCCGGGCGCGTGGCCCCCAAAGGAACTCCCAAGGACAGAACCCCCATGGAGATGGGCTCCTGGCTCTGGCCTAGGGCTGGGGAATGGCTTCCCTCTGCAGGCACGAGGGTCTCCTACTCCATCCCATAAGGTACAGACCCTGCCGAATGCCCCAAACTCAGGCCCTGGCCATGGCTCGTGGTAGATTCTGAGGAAGAGTGATGCTGGACAGCGGACACCAGTGGGATCCCTTACCTGGGTGGTCAGGGAAGGCTTCACAAGGAGGTGAAAACCTGAGAGACACAGGGGCCCTGCCACCAGCCCGGCCTGCCAGGCACAGATGTGCCGTCACCACTCCTGGTGGTGGCCTGTCCAGAAGGCCCACAGCAAGCCCGCTGGAGCTGCCAATGGGCCGGGCTCAGGTCCAGGCCATAGAGGGAACACACCAAGCAGCGCCAAACACGGGTGCTCATCCCCTCCAGCGAGGGGCTGGGAGAGGCGCCAGCAGCAGGGAAGAGGTTCTGGGGCTGCACCAAGGGGCCAGGTGGGCCCACGGGGTTGCAGGCAACAGGAGTGCTGCCTGAGCTGAGGGCCCGCCCTCCAGGGCTGCCTCTACAAACCCCAAGCTGGGAATGGCCTCCAGAGGCCAAGTACACACCTCCTGAGGGTCAGGCAGGCATCTGGCCCACTGTCCCCTTGCTCAGCTGGCTTCCCACCCACTATACTGCATTGCCCCTCCCCCAGCTCCCGGGAGAGCCTCCTGGGCCCATGGGCAGGGAGGATGTGGGTGTGCCTGGAGCCCTTTCCACACGGGTAACCGGAGGAGCCACACCCGAGACAGGTGGTGACGTCAGGGCAAGGGTCAAAGGCCTCTGGCCACATCAGCCTGAGTGGTGAGGGCTGGGCCCAGACAGGCCCTTGCCCCCCGCCCCTCCCTGAGGGCCACCTTTGGAGCCCTGGGCTCCAGCGGCTTCTGGGCCAGTACTGCCGCCCCACCCCCACAAGGTGCCAGCAGGGACCAGGGCGGACGGTGAGGGAGGCAAGGGCCCCGTCTAATCCCTCCCTGCAGGCCACCTAGGACCAAGGCTGAGGGAGAGAGGCTCGGTGCCTTCAGAGCAGGGCCTGGAGCTGCCAGGCTGAGCCCAAGAGCCACCTGCTTAGCCCCGCCCCCTCCGCAGGCCAGGCCGGCCAGGGGCTCCACACCCACAAGTGCCACTCAGAACAGAAGCAGCTGTTTGACCCCCAAGACCACTCACACCTGTTGCGGCTGCTTCAACAGGGACGAGAGTCGATTGTGTGGCCAATGCAGGGACCGCCACCAGGTCTCTCCCCTCCAGCCCGGGCCCGACTCACCAGCATCACCACACACCAATTCAGGATCCCGCGGTAGTTGCTAAAGCCACTGTCCGAGCTGAACAAAGAATCCTGCAGGCGGTGGCACCTGGAGGCAGGAGACACGCCCTCTCAGAAGCAGGGAGCGGCCAGGCAGGGCTGGCCCCGCCAGTCCCGCCCGGAGCTGTGAGAACCCTGCCTGCCTCCAAGCACAGGGCCAGGTCGGGGCCCGCACAGAACCCAGAGCCAGCCTTGGGGTCTGGGGCCCAGGCCAGAGCAGACCACAGGCCTTCCCTCGGAGCGGCTCCGGCCCATCCTAGCCCAGCAGGACAGTCTGCGCCCCATACCGCCCTCTCTTCTGCCCACACATCCTCCTCCCCGTTCACCATCACAGAAGACCCAGGCAGGGCCAGGCTCTCGGGACCGCCCAGAAGCCCGCCCTTCCAGGTCGCGGGCAGGTCACGCAGCAAACAGGAGCAGGACAGCCGGCCCGGCCTTGCCCGGGGCTACAGAGAGCTGGAGCTCCCAGGCCAAGAGCCCATCCTCGATTCCCAGAGGCCTCTGGCTGCCACCATATGCTACAGCCACAGATGGTGACGCGCCCAAAGGGACAGTCCACTACGGGGATGTTGAGGCTGACCCGCCAGGCAGCTGTGTCGAGGCGCGGGCAGGGGCTGAATCTGCCTTGCTCTGCCTGCCCCACCACCCAGCGCCCCAAGGGGCCCCCACCTCCAACGACTTCCCCCCAAGGTTTGGCCCATGCAGGCTCCGGTGTCCACAGGGCCCCAGGCCAAGAGCCAGCTGGGCACCTGGACTCACACGCACTTTCCCGAGGACAGCGCCCCCAGACATCTGCACAGCCTCCAACTATTGCTGAAAAAGTATCACCTGTTCCGGGTTATGACCACAGGGTCAGCACTGTGTTCCTGCCCAGGCCGAGGGGGCCAAGAAGAGCCCACCCAGGGGCCAGGAGCCTGATGGCAGAGAGACCTCCACAGAAGCAGGAGAGTTCCCACCCACTAAAGGGGTTGAGGAGACACAAGCAGATCCTCAAACCCCCGTGGGGTCCTCAGCGTGACACAGAGCTGGCAGAAGGGCCACAGGGTCTGGGGCAAGGCCCAGACCCAGTTCCCGGCTCACTCGCGCTGCCCCACCCCACCCAGCTGCCATGCCTCCAGGAAGCCTCACACGGCATTGAGCAAGGCCTCCAGTGTGGTAAGATGCGAGGCCAGGAACTCCCCTTCTCTCCCGAGGACAGGCATCTCCACCTCTTGAGGCCCCCAGGCAGGAGAAGTGGACTCAGAGGCATACACAGCAGGGGCGCCATAGCACAGATGTCCTCTTGGGGCTGACCCACCCTCCATCACAGGCCTTGCTGTGGGTTAGGGTGGACACTGGGAGGTGAGGGGCTGGGCAGGCTGAGGTGCTACCCAGCTGTCTGTAACATGGCCGGAGGCACAGTCCACACCGCAGCTGGCCCTCCAGCCTCCCCCGCTCACAGGTCTCCTTGTGTCCCTCTCCCATCTGTCCTGGGCCTTGCAGGGAGGCCACAGGAGACCCTCTCCTCCCTGAGACTCTGCACCTGCCTTTCTGCAAGGCAACCAGAGGTCCAAGGCCCCATTCCCCAGAGAGGACAGTCTCTGGGCCCGTCTGCTAGATGAGGCCTCCCCAGCCCTTTTGCCAAGTTTGAGCCCATGCACTTGCACTGGAGCTGTCCCAGGGCCACCTTGTGCCACAACCTGCCCCCCCGACCTGCACGGCAACACCCATCCAGCAAACAGTTCACAACAACGTGACCCCGTCACCAAGAACACCGCGCTGCTTTTATTTTCAGCAATTCTGAAGTTGCCGCAATCCTTCAGCATCCTGATGATGAAGACAGGGCTGGGAAATGGGTATTGTTTTCCAAATCTGACACCAAACAGCATCATAAAAGCAGACTCCGATCCCGGGATCCCGGCTGTCAGGCTCTCAAGGCCTTCCCCAACCTGCCCGCAGCCACTCCCCGGGTCCCTCCACAGGGCTCCTGACCATCCCCGACCTCAGGCAGCACAGGCCCAGGAAAGGAAGCCCGCCCCGCACCAAAACCCACAAGGCCCAGCCTTGCCATCAGAGTCGGCAGTGGGCCAGAGGGCGACAGGCGGGATCTGGCACAACACCCAGAGCCGTCTCTGCCACGGCCTCTCCCCTACTACCGGGGCCGCCCACACCTCTGCCCTCTAGCGGTTCCACATTCGCTCCCCAGGTCCGCTCAACCAGCAGGGCCACTGGAACTCGTCACCTGTGTCACCTCACTCAACCCTCACATGGATCACACCTGGTTCAGCTTCAGGGCCAAGCAGAGCAAAGAGGGGACAGGTGCCAGCTGTCCTCCCAGCAGCCTCCTCCTCGGCACTTCCTTCAGCCGGCCTCTGGGCTGACCCTTGGGATGCAAGAGGATGCGTGTGCTCCCCACAACCCGATACCCTGCTGGGGAGGAAGAAACAGGACATCCCAGGAACCAACACCCGGGGGGCGCCCTGCCTAGAAGGCCCTGCCTGGAGTGCCCAGTAGCCAAGGGCCAGACGGCCTGGGCACGGGCACTATGTACGGCGCCCCCTCCTTCCTGCCGCACAGCTGCACCCTGCCATGGCGGGAAGAAATGAGTTCACACCCAGAGCCTGACCCCCCTTCCCAGGCCAAGGTGAGCAGGAAGTATAGGGAGGGGAGGAGGCCTGGAGCCCAGGGCGTCAGGAAGAATAGGGAAGGAGAGGCAGCAAGCAGGGGCTCCTGGGTGGCTCAGGTGGTTAGGTGTCTGCCTTCGGCTCAGGTCATGATCCCGCGGTCCTGGGATCAAGGCCCACATTGGGCTCCCTCTCCATGGGGGACCTGTTTCTCCCTCTCCCTCTGCTGCTTCCCCTGCTTGTGCTCTCCTGCTCTCTCATTCTGTCAAATAAATAGACAAAAATCTGAGGTGAGGGGAGTGGACAAGGAGGGGAAGCCTAGGGACCAAATCCCAGCACAGCTAGAGCAAGGCCTGAGCCTGTTGGCCCCCTGGGGCCGTCCGACATCGGGGCCCGAGGAATAAGAACACATGGCCTGCATGACCCGAGACCAGGAGGGGCCCTGCCAGCTCCCCCTCTAGCCCCGGGGCATCTCCTGCTCCTCTTCCCAGGGGCCCAGACTTGGAGGCTGCCACTCACTTGGCCCAACTACCAGGAGCACAGGCGAGGCTTCAGGACATCGGGCCTTGGCAGAGCAGGGAAGTGACTGCCGATCCCAGAGTGGCAACGTGGCCCAAAGCCAACACCCCCGTCTTACACAAAAGGACACAAACTCCTGCCACCTCTGCAGGAGATCATGCAGCCATAACCCCTGACTCCTGGAGGGCAGTCAGCAGAGGGGACTCTAAGGCCCTCCTGTCCTTTGGAGCCTCCTCAGCACTGCCCCAGGCCCACGGGGAGCAAGCACCCCCTCGGTAAAAGCTCCGTCCCCTGCCACAGCGCCTTCACAAACCCTGAGCCTGACCTTTGCTCGGGCTGCTCAGTGCTGAGATTATCTTATCTCCAGGTGGACTGTGAGCAACCCAAGGGCAAGGACCCCAGCCACCCTCACCCACCCTCTCGCCACGGTGAAGCAAGCCCCTGTTCGTGTTCACTGAGAGAGCAAACCCTCGCGGGCACACGGACTGACCGCCCACTTCCTCCTTGATTACCTCTAGCCCCAAGGCAATTCCAAAGCTTAAGCCCCGAGGACCCTGGGCCAGAGGGAAGGCCAGAAGTGGGAGAGGGAGGCTAGAAGTGGCGACGGGATCACTTGGAGCGGGCGTGAAGGAGGGACCCAGTACCTGGCCCTCCAGGTCCTCCCCATCAGCCAGGCTTGCCCCCCAACCACTTCCTGTCAGTCCTTCAGCTAAACAGGTGCCCATCTGGGGGCACTTCGCGTCCCTCTCCTGCGCCCCAACCGGGGGGGGGGGGGGGGGGGGGGGGTGAGAGTCCCAATGCAGGACCCAACTCCGTCCCTGCAAGAAGACACTTGTTCTGGAAACCGAAGCCGGGGCCCAGGCCAGCCAAGCTCTAGGTGACGGAGGGACCCCTATGAAAACAACTCTGGGGAGAGTCTGCAGGGACACAGCCCTGCCCCTGTCCCTCAGGCAGCCCCAGTCTCCTGCGGGACGCCTGCCCAGCAGGACCACCTCCTCTGCGAGACTCCCAAGCGCCAAGGCACCCCTCACAGCCCTCAGAAGACACCTCCCTGGTTACAAACCAGCCGCTCCCACCCGGCTCCTTGCAGACAGGGAGAACCCGGGGTCCCGGGCTACCCTGGGGAAGACGACGTGTGGAGGGGTGGGGAGTCGGGAAGCCAGACTGCTGCCGGCTCCCCTCTGCACCCCCACGTGGGTGACCTTGGCAAGGGACTCCCCACTCCTGTGCCTCAGTCCCCCCCCCCCACAGGGACCCCAGGGGCACACCTGCCCACGCCAAGTCCGGGAGCCAGGCTCGCGCGCTCGGAGCCCGCGCTGCTGCGGTCATGCCCGGGGCACCGAGGAGGGTCCCGGGCAGGGGGCAGAGGTTAGGGGTGGGGCGCCTCTCTACCTCAGATCCCAGTGGCCGCTGCCCACGTCGGAGCCTCCGTTCTCGTCCTTGTCGGGGGCCGGCGCCGGCGCGGGCGCGTCTCCCGCGGGGCCCACGTCCCGCACCTCTTCCGCCGCCGCGGGCCCGCCGCCGCCCTGGCTCGAGGGCCGTGAACCCGTCCTCCGGCGCCGGGAGCCGCCCGCGCCGCCGCGGTCGCCCATGACCTCAACCCGTACCCGGCCCGAGCAGAGTCGTGGCCCGCCGCGCTCGCAGCGCCCAAGGTCCGCGGCTCCGCTCCAGACCCTCCGCCAACCGCCGCCACCGCCCCCTGCCGGACGCCGTAGCCCGCGCGCTGACCCCGGCCGCCAATCAGCGCGCGCCCTCCGGGCCGTCCAGGTACTGCGGGTACGTCGCTCCGGGAGTCCCTAACTGGTCAACCGCCGGGGCGCGCGCCCATTTGTAGTCCGCGGGCGCGCGGGGCATCCTGGGAGTCGTGGTCGCTCAGCGCGGGGCACCCTGGGACTCGTGGTCGCCCCGCGCGGGGCACCCTGGGACTCGTGGTCGCCCCGCGCGGGGCACCCTGGGAGCCGCGGTCGCCGGGTACACCCGAGAGCGCGGCTGCGGCCCGGCGGCCCGAGGCGGACCTTGTACCCCGCGGACCTCTGCGTCTCCACGGAACGCGTCAGGCCTCCTGGCAGCGCCGAGGCTCCCCCCACCGCTTCCTGCTGCTCCTCCCGCTCTGCCAACGCGGGGTTTCGCCGCTGCTCGGCCAGGCGCGGAGTGCGGGGTGTGGATGACTCACGAAGGGCCTCGCGGTCGCGTCAGGCCCCGCGGCCGTGTCCGTGCGACCCGCCTCGCCCACCGCCCAGCGTGTTGGCCTCCGAGCGCACGTCGGGGCGCGTTGGGGTCCCACGAGCCCCCTAGTTACCACAGCAGAAGCCCCTGCTTTTCCTGGGCTCACGCTGTTCAAGCGAGCGCCAGGCCGAAGGTCGGAGCCGAGGAAGGCCCCAGACCCCGGCCCCGGGACGCCCGCCCTGCCAACTGACTCCTCGTGGAGGTGCCCGGCGGGGATAGGGAAGGTGTAGCCCCCAGCTCCCATCCCCGAGTGGCCAGGCCCTGGCCCCCCCCCCCCCCCCCCCCCCCCCCCTACCTCCGCGGGCCCCCCGCGTTTCCCCCCGGGCTAGTTTTGCCAGGTGTGGGGACCCAGAGGCTTCCGTGTCCTTGAACCACCGCACGGTGCAGCCCCCAAGTGAGCAAGTGCGCCTCCCACCTTAGCTCGACTCTCCTCTCTGCACGGGGCCTGTAGTGGGAATGTCTAGGATTTCCGGGTACAGGGTTCACCGAGGGCTCAGGCCGGGTTTACCCAGCAGCAAAACCCACTAGCCACTCACTCCTAAGTTGAGCAAGGCCGAGAGGAGTGCCTGTCTAGAAGCAAATAAACCGAGAGGGAGGTTCACCCTAAGGCTAGCGGCCTCTCCCGGTGCCCTGGCCACTGCCTTCCCGCTGGGCTCATCCGTGTTCCACCACCTTCACCACAGTGCCTGGGCCCCCTGGTGCCACATTCCTGTTGCCACTGGGCCATCTGGGATTGATACCAGCCTGGCATCCCTACCTGGCAGGCTGGGGCTACCTGGCAGGTGTTTCTGAGTCACCTGCCAAAGGGGCTGCCCTGATTGGGCAGGAGAGCCCCTCCCCCGTGATTATGCAGCCCCACCTGGGTGAGTCAGTTTCAACCTCATTTCCTATCCAGTCTTTCAGAACTCGTGCCTGTTCACTGGCTGGCCTGGGCCAGGCAGAGCGAGGCCTTTCTGAATACTGATTCCAAGGGAGGGCGAACAAAGGAGCGCGTAGGAGCGAGCCCTGGGAGCTCTGCCACGCGCGCCCACGAGTCTCTGCGTGCCTTCTGGCTGTGCCGTCCTCCCAATACAGAGCCAAGAACTACAGGGCCCGCCCAGGCTGTCGGAGAAGATTAATGACTCAGGCTCCCAGTAGGCCTGGAGAGGCGGGGTGCCCTAGTCATAAAGGGTGAAGAGTCATGTTGGAAGCGGCCGCCTGCGTCCACATCGGGCTCCAAGCCATTGGCGGGCCTGTGTCAGCAGGAGCAAAGCGACCAGAGTGGACAAGGGATCACCAGGGAGGACCAGTCCAGCGGGGCACTGGAGCAGAGCACGAGGAGAGCAGGACAGCGGGTTAATAGGCAGGCACGGGCTGTGAGAGCAGCAATAAGGACAAGCCTCAGAACCCGGGGCAGGGGAAGGGCCTGGAGGGAGGCAGGGAGGCCTGTGCGAGGGAGGGGCACATGGGGGTCTTGGGAGGGGGAGAGGGTCAGCACTGGAGGTTCACACGACACCCACAGCATCAGTTACCTCAGGGTCCTGGGGAAAATGAGACCCAGGGTGCCAGGGGAGAGGGGAAAGGTCAAGGTAGGTGGGGTTGCTTGGTGACAAAGGGGTACAAGAGGGTTATGGAAGAAAGCTCAGTGGGGATTTCCCGGCCAGGGGCTGCAACTGATTAGGGGACCAGAGGCCAGGAGCCTTACAGGCCTGGCTGGAAGAGATGCAGAGCTTAGAAGCTCAGCCTGTGGCAGGCCACTGAGGCCCGTGAAGGGTCTGGCCCAATGGGACACATGGGACATGGTGGTCAGCTGTCAGGGCCGCCCATTCTCTGGGATGTGAAGTCCTGTCCGGGGAAATCTGTGGAGATTGAGGGTTGGACTTGCTCCAGGCCTCAGGGAGGCGGTTTCCCTTCTTCCACCCTATCGCCTCTCGGACTCCTGGAGAAGCAGAGACAGCCTGTCTAGACCCAGAAGATGGGAAGGAAGGAGCATTCCTCACCCACGCGTGATGGCTGGTGTAGGGTGGATGGGATATTGGGGAAGGGCTTGTGTCAAAGGCAGGCCTTGGATAAGCTGTTCTCCCAGAGGCTGATTTTTCGTATGCAAATTGAGCTCTGAAGCCCACCCCAGCCCCGGGACTGTGAAAACCAAGGATCCCTGGGCAGGAGCATCTGCACACTGACCTCTCCCAATACCACAGGCTTTCACTCCTGAAGTTTTTACTGCTGACAGTGTTCCCCAGAAGAGGGCATCCCCCTCCACGTGAGCCCCACCCTAAGCACGCTACAGGCCAACTTCCTGCAGGTCAGGCTCCCCTGCTGTCCATCCCGATGAAGTCTGGGCAGGCCTATCTCCTGCCAGGATTCACACGGCTGGCCCTGGGTTCATTTGGTTCAATTGCATGACTCCAAAGACTTAGGGCCTCTGGCTCATGCCTGCCTACCTGGGTATCAGGAGGCATTGCTGGGGCAGGGGTCCCTGTCCTTGGGCTATCCCTGACCAGCACAGTCCCACCCCTCATCTCAGTTTGATTCATCCAGTCTAAGGCTCAAGGCCTGTGGGTGGCTGTGGAAGCCTGTGTGGCCCGCCCAAAAGCAACACGGGTCAGCTGTCCACGGAGGCCTCCTCAGACAGTGAGGGTTTAGGGCGTGGGCAGCACAAAGCAGCAAGGAGCTAGACCCTGCACCCCCTACTGGCCCCCTTTCCTCCACTGGCACTGAGGAGGGTTTGTTGCAGGGTGTCAGGCCCTAGGGGCTCATACAGGGACAGCAGGCCATAGGTCTGCAGGCCTTGCTGTACCTACTCTGGGGACTCCAGATCACTTCTGGACTGGCCTGACTTCAGGCTAGAGACCCTTCGCTCCCTTAGTTCCAGGCACAGAGCCGATTAACCTGCCATGGGACAAATGCCAACTGCTTTTTGGGGGAGTTCTCCCACAGCTTGGCCTGCCAGGCTGGCCCTTCTGGGTGGAAGAGAACCCTCTTGCAAAAGGGGACACTGGTGCGCCCTGACAAAGGCAGTGCCCGGCCCTGGGGCCTCATGGGCCGGCTGCCATTCCCAGCACTGTATCTGCACCAGCCTTGCCTCTGGGACCCAGCATGACTGGGCAGCCGACACCCAGACATCCCAGTGCCCCCGTGGCGTGGGCCCAGCATTGGATACATCAACCCGACACTCCAAGTTCTATCAAGAGTGGCATTTATTCTCCTCGTGGAGGTGCGGCGCTCCGGGGAGCTGGTGCTATTGTGCTTAGGAAGGAGGTCTGTCCGTCCGTCCGTCTGTCCGGCCGGCCCAGCCCCAAACGGGGGCGGAAGAGGGGCGCGGCCCGAGTAAAAATCCCGGCCTGTTCCGGGTGGGTGGGAGTATGTACAAGGCGGCGGGGCGCAGGCGGGGGGGGGGGCGGGGCAGGCCGGCGGCCGCAACCCCCACCCGAGGGCCCCCGCATCTCGGGCCCTACTCGTAGAATCAGTACAAAATAGGTGCTACCTAAACGTTCCTTCTACCTGAATTCGCTAAGTCGGTTATTGTGCTGCTTAGTTATGGGGGCGGGAGGGGGCCCATGGCTTTCCACGGCGGCGGGGTGTAGGGAGAAGCAGGAGACCCTGGCCGGCCCATGGCCCTCTGGCCTTCTCCTTAGGTAGGTAGACCGGCGTGTGGGGGTAGGGTGGGGCGCCTGTGTGTGCGTGTGCATGCGGGTGTGCCCAGCACAGGAGGGCAGACCCCAGCCTGGGAGCTGTTGGACCCCGAGGTGTGGTGCAGAGGGTTTGGGATGCGGGCCCTTCTGTGCTGGGCCCTCAGTCCACTCCTGCAGGGGCTGCTCTGTAGCAGCTTGGTGCCCATGGGGATGGGGCTGACCAGGTCATACACTCCAGCGCGCACCTTTTGTCTGGCCTGGGCCCCTGGCCCCATACAGCAGAGCCCAGGGTGGCCAGAAGATGGAAGGACTGAGAGTTGGTATGGGTGGCCTGGTCGTGCTGGGCCTTGGGGCCCTGGGTCTGTGCCACCTGAGCTGAGAACGCCAGGTGCTAGTCAAAGGGAGAGCCCAGTTGCACCCAGCCGTGGACCCGGGCTGGGGCAGGGAAGAAGTAAGGGGGATGCAGGGTTGGGTCTAGGGATCAGGCCTTTCTCTGCGTATGCAGCCCTCCTTGGCCCGCCCAAACCTGACGGACCCCTGTGGCGAACACGCACCCCTGCTGGTCACTGCATCCCTAACCGACTGCAGCGGGCCTGGCACAGAGTAGGTGGGTGATGGATGACTGAAGGAGGGGTCTTGGGGGCAACCACCCCGCCCCTGCCCCTGGAACCATTACACCCGCAGGGCTCTGCCGTGGGGGAGTAGGGAGGAGGAGGGGAAGAAAGTCTGCGCGTCCGGCCCCGCGCAATGTCCCTGATCTAGGGGCCTATGGGGTGGATAGGGCAGGGGGATACCTGATTCTCAGTAACTCTAGAGGCGGCGGCAGCTTCGCATGCAGTGCGCATTATTGCTCTATAGTCGGCATCGGACTAACTAAGAGGGAGAGGGAGCGGGCAGCCCCGGGAAGGGACAGGAGGAGGGTTGGGGCTGCATGCAGTGACGTCACAAAGGCGGCGGCCAATGGGGCGGGCCCTTGGGGCGGGGTCGCCGCCGAGGCTTTGGCATAGACGGGCGAAAGTTGGCAACAGAGTGGGGGCGGGGCCTGGGGCTCGAGGGTAGGGCCCAGGTAGGGGCGGGGTTCAGGGGCGGGGAAAGTGATCCCGGACATCCCGAGCCCCCGGCGTCGGCGGGAAGGATGGGGGCCTCAGCGCCCCTTCCCTGACCCGAGTGCAATCCGTTCATAAATAAAACGTACAAATACAGAAAGAAAGAAACCCGACGCATCCGCAACCCCCCCAGGGGGCTTTACCCGCAAAGCGAATACAGAGAGGTGTGTAATGAGCCGTGCCCAGGCCTGCCTGCCGGGCCCCAGGATCCGTCCTCCAACACCGAATGCCCGGGGACGAGGGAGGGGGCCCCGGGGCAGGGCGGGAGTGGGGTCTGAGGAGGTCGGATAAGTCCATGCGATTCGATATGCGTCATTATTATTCGTTATGAAGGACAGAGCCCGGGAAGCTGGGCTGGAAGAATTCGGATTTGGCCGAGGATGCGAGGCGAGGGCGGGAGAGCGGCTTGGACTGAGGCCCCAGAAAGAACCCGAGGGAGAGGGGTGCCGCCGTCCGCCTCTCTCCCTGATCCCCAACGCGTCTATCACTCCTGGGGTTCAGCGAAGACTGAGGAGTAGGGACGCCTCTGCAGGAACCCCCCCCTCCGGCTCCTCCCCCCGTCTGCTCCCTGGACGTCTAGGCCGCAGGCCTGGCCCTTGGAAGGCTTGGGAAAGGGGTGGGGAAGACCTGAGTCTCTGCGACGCGATCCAGGGGCGCAGAGGAGGGAGGAGGGGTGTGCTGCCCACCTCACCCCACCCCCGTCTTCAGAGACCTAACTCGGAGATGAGGTTCGGTTCTGGGTCTCCTCGACCCTATTGCTGGGAAAAAGCCTGGGGCACCCTGGAGGGGAAGGGAGGGGGTTCGGGGTGGGTCTCCCCTCAGGACCCTATTGCTTGAAGGGGCCGACAAGGCCCCTGGCGGGCGGGGCGGGGCCGGACCCCCTCCCTCTATTGCTGTGAGGAGGGGCCCGCCCTCCGGCCCCTCCGCCGGGGAGCTGGCGGAGACTTCCCTGGGGGCCCGTATTGCTGAGAGCCGACCCGGCTGGGCTGGCGGAGGCGCCGCCGCCCTAGGCCTGCACGGGACTGAGCTGCGGCGAAGCGGCGGGCGCCTGGGCCGCGGGGCCGCCGCCGCCAGCGCCGCCTTTGAAGCATGCAGACTCGTAGTGCTTGTTGAGATAGGACTTGAGCGCGAAGCTCTTCTTGCAGCGCTTGCACTGGAAGTGCTTGAAGGCCGAGTGCGTCTGCATGTGAGCGCGCAGGTTGGAGCGGTCGGCGAAGGCCTTGCCGCAGTGCGCGCAGCCGAAGGGCTTCTCGCCTGTGTGGGAGCGCATGTGGCCTTGCAGCAGCCAGGGCCTCGAGAAGGCCTTGCCGCACACGCCGCACTTGTGGCGCAGGTCGTGCGTGAGCAGGTGCATGGCCATGGCCGGCATGGACACGTACACCTTGCCGCACGTCGGGCACCGCCGCGCCAGCTGACTGTCCAGGCTGCGGTGCGTCTGCTTGTGACGGCTCAGGTTCGACGACGTGGCGTACGTTTTCCCGCACTCGCCGCAAGCGTGCCGGCCCCCTGCGCCGCCAGCCCCAGGCCCCGCGCGCGCCTCCGTGCTCACCCCCGCGCGCGCGCCGCCCCGGGCCCCGGCCCCCGACCCCGCGCCGCGCGCACCCGCCCCGGCCCCGCCTCCGCCGTCGCAGTCGGGAGCTGCCGCGGAGGCCGTGGAGGGAGCCGCGGCGTTGGCGGCCTTACGGCGCGAGCGCCCGTCGGTGATGAAGAAGGCGTCAGCCGCGTAGCCCTCGCTGACCGCCGCGTCGCCGTTGATGTAGCCGCCCGCGGCTGTAGCCAGCTCTGGGCGCGGGGTGGGAGGCGGTGCCGAGCCCGCGGCCGCCGGGCCCAGTTCTCCACGCACGGCCGCAGCGTACATGGGCTCTGGGGACGGCCCTTTGAGCAAGGCCGCCTCGGCATCGCCATCGTAGACGGAGGCGGGCCCCGCGTAGTCGTTGAGGTATCCTGAGGGCCGAGGCGGACAAGCAGACAGAGGGAGGGGGAACCGGGCAGCGGGCGAGACACACACGGGAAGGCGAAGGGCGACACGGGGTCCGGGAAGAAGGGAACAAGAAAAAGGACAAAGGAGAAGGGGCCGGGGGACCGCGGGGCAAGGAGGATGGAGGAGGCAGGGAGGGGAAGAGAAGAGAGGACAGATGAGACTGGGCCGGGCCCAGCTCCGCCCCCGCCGCCCGCCCCACCCTCGCAGCGGGAGGAAAGAGGCGCATCCTCCGGCGCGGCTGCCCCCCTTCCGCGGAGCCTCAAGGTCAGGGGGGAGGGGCGGCGCTTCCCTCGCCCTTCTTCCTCCACCCTCCTCCCCCTCGGGTTCTCCCCACTTCAGCAGTTTTCCCTGATTATGCAACACACTGCGGACCCGCAGCGCACAAAGCCGGGACCGCCCACCGAGGGACCCCGTCGCTCCTGCCTCTCCCGGTTCCCACCTGCTCTTCCCCTCGGCACCTAGAACTCGTGTCCAGGCTTGATGCCCCCCCTCCTTGGTCCCCGAGGCCCCCCAACAAGCCCTGAAGACTTCTCCCTCGGACAGCCTCTCCTACCCCCTCTAGCACCTCCTTCTTACCTCCCAGGTCTTCTACTACTCACTGGACTTGACCCCCTTCACCCTCCAGCCCTACCTTCCTACATCTACACTGCTTCTTTCCTGACTCCCTTAGGTCATCCTGCACCCTTGGGTCCTACCTTGTTCCACATAGCCCTCTTCCCCCAGTCCCGAACCCTTTGTAGGGGCCTTCCCGAGCCTCAGGACGGGTGACCAGGGAGTCCCTGTGTTGGAGAGTGCCAGGGCACCCACCAGGGGACACCTTCACTGGGACAATCTGCAGGCAGGCAACATCATTCATGCCAGTAACTACAGTTGTTCTCAAGGTACAAGATGGATCTCACAACCTCAGAGTCACAAGTGCACACACCACACGATGCAGCCTCTGGCTTCTTCAGGGTTACACTCTGCTTCCCAGCCACCATCAACCCTGGAGTGTCCTCATAGGGTGGGCGGCACGCTCACCCCAGCATGCCACCTATTCATGCAGGGTCACACATGCAGCCACCCTGGACACACTGTCAGCCAGGGTCGCCAGTCACATGGGTGCACAGCGGCCTCAGAGTCACATGGTCCCATGTAGTGGCACACAGGCAGGCACACACTCATACAGGGTCACACACAAGCAAGCGCACGCAGTCACATGGCCTCACGCAGTCACATGGGCGCACACAGGCGCACACACAGGCTCACACTTGTTTGCCACCCCACACTGCTGGCACTCCCAGCCCTCCTGCCTGCATGTTAACAGTTGTCCTTGAACTTGGGCACCTTTACACAAAGAGCCTCCCCCTGATTCCAGCACTTAGGACCTGCCTACTTGGAGCCCTCCTGCCTACATCCTCCTCCCTGGCCCTGGTTGCAGGGGAAATACTGCAGGTCCTCTGCTGGTGCCCTAGTCCTGACAGGTGGCGGCCCCCAGTGGACCCATGCCTACTCCCTGGAACTCACAGCACTCTGTGACCCTAGCCAAAAAAGAGAGGATGATACTCAGGAAGGCCCAGGTTTCTGGGTGTGGGTCGGCATGCATGGCAGGTCCTGTCATATCAGCAAGTGTCCACACGCACAGCCAGGGTGTGGGTCTATGCGTACCTTTGGGTACTTCCTGTTTCCCACCCTTGCTCCCCACCTTCTCTCCTGCATTGACACCCTCCCTGTCTGGCCTTGGCCTTGTTCTGGCCTGCTTCTGCGTTCCCCTCTCCCACCTTCCTCCACAGTCCAGTTTCAGCCACTGTCTCCTTCTGGTTCTATTCCCTCAGGTCTATTTCCTGGAGACCCTGACCCTTCCATCCCCATACTCTGGTCCTCTACCCCTCCCAGCATTGCCCTGGGCCCCTTGCTGTCCCCAGCCTCAGCCCAGCTCGCACCTTTCTCATGCAGTCGCACTCCGAGGTCGCTGCGGGCGCGCCCGTAGGAGCTCTCGAGGTCCGCCGAGGAGAACGTGTCAAGTTTGACCTTCTTGACCAGGAAGGATCTGGGCATGATTCCTGCGGGGCTCCGGCGCTGCGGGCCTGCAGAGCCGGGGCGCGGGGGGGGCTGCGGCCGCGGCGGGGCCCCGTCACCATCCGAGGAGTGGCGGAGGCAGCAAGGGTCCCCACTCTGGCCTTTGGATGCTGCCGCTGGAGTGCCGTCCTCTCTCCTCCTGCCTTCCTTCCTGCCCTGCGTTCCCTCCTCTGCTCCTCTGAATTCCTCCTCTTTTCCTTCTCTTCTCTTTTCTCTTCTCTTCTCTTCTCTTCCCTTCTCTTCTCTTCCTTCCTTCCTTCTTTCCTTCCTCCTTTTCTTCCTTCCTTCCTTCTTTCCTTTCCTCCTCTGGTCCCGGCTTCCCAGCCCGCAGTGCCGCCCCTGGACAGGCGGGGGAGGAGGCCGGGGGGTGGGGGGTGGGGAAGGGGGGAGCGGCTCCGTCCCGGGCCCGGAGGCTGCGAGTGGGTGCAGGGCTGGCCCGGCTCCGCGGCCCCCTTCCCCTCCCCCCCACCGCCGCGGCGGAGCTTCAGTCAGCGACCCCCCATGCCCCTGGGGGTGGAGGCGCCGGGCCCGGAGAACGCGGCGGCGGCGGCGGCGGCGGCGAGAGCGCCAGCAGCTTCAGCACCGCGGCCAGCGCCGGCCCGGCCAGCACCTCGGCCAGCGACCGGGCGCGCTCAGCCTCGGCGGGCGGCGAGGGGCGGGCCGCGGGTGCTCTGTCGCCAGGCAGGGGTCCTCCGCGGGGGTCTCTGGGAGGCTTGCTTTATTGTTCTGCAGCCGGAGCGAGCGGCGGCGGCGGCGGCGGCGAGCGGGGGGCGGGGGTCCTCGGGGGGAGGGGTGCGCAGGGAGGGCGGGCCGAGGGAAGGAGAGAGGGAGGGACGGGGGCTCCGGGGGCGGGGCTCAGCACTCGGACAGCTCCCGGGCCCGGCCTCCTGCGCCCGCGGCCGCCTCTGCCTGCGGCCGGGCCCAGCCTCTGGCTTTTAAAGCCCAGAAGCTGAGGGAGGGGGAGAAGGGGAGGGAGGAGAGGCCGGCGGAAATGGCTGCGCGGGGCCGGGCCCGTCCAGGGTCTCCTGGGAGGGGTCTTGGGGATGCCGCGGCCCCCGCATGTGTGGATTTCCCCCGAGCAGCTTCGGGAATGGAGGCCCAGCGGTCTGCGGCATTGTCGTGCGTGGGGGGAGAGGGGGAAACAGGCCTGGGACTCGAGAGCCCCAGACTTTGGATCTTGTGGGGAGGAACGCAGGGCGGATCCCAGGCTAGTCCAGCCTGCCTGGCTTTCGGGTGGGGAGGCTGGCGATCCTAGGGGCCGGGCGGGGGCGGAGGGGAGGCGAAGGAGCGAATGCTGAGGCAGCGAAAGCGCAGTGTGGAAGCGCGGCGCGCGCCCCGTGCCGCAGTGTCTCCCTGCCACTCGGTCACCCGGGCTGACCTCGCGCCCGCTGGAGAGGCCTCCCCCCTCCGCCTCTTTCCCCGGGGACTGAGGTCGAGCGCCGCGGCGACGCAGCGAACGGGCTGTGAAGCGGGAGAGGGGCTGCCATGCCCTTGCTCTAGAAATTCGACTTCGTGGTGGTTTTACACCCTTCCGCGCGGCTGCAGCTCCCCCCCGGCGGCTCCGCAACCAGGCGGATAACCCTTCCCCAGGCCGCCCGCCCGGAGTTTGCAGCCCCCATGACGTCAGCCCCAGCCGCCAATGGCCGGGTGCGGGGGTGTCGGGGGCTCCAGGCCGCACAATGGCTGCGCGTGGGGACATATGTCCTCAATTAGGACCCGGAGCTGCCATTGTCCCCTCCCTCGCCTGCGCCGGATGGCTCGGGAGTCCACGCTCGGAGCGCGCCTCCGCGCGACCCGCTGTCACTGAGGACCAAGGTCGCGGGGTGGCTCCGGGGAGTGTCCGGGCGCGGCCGAGCCGGGAGCGCGTGCACGGCGGGGGCGCGCGCGTGCACGGCGGGGGCGCGCGCACGGCGGGGGCGCGCGCGCCCCCGCCGCTACACGCAGTGACCTTGTGCAGGGCGGCGCGGCGGGACCGCGGGCCCCGGCCGGGAGCGCGCGGCGGGCGGGCCACTCCGGGAGCGCGCGTGCGGGGGCGTGCCTGGAGGGCTGAGCGCGGCGCCGGGCTTCCTCCCGCGGCTCGGCCCCGCAGGCGAGCAAGTGTGCGTGCGAGCGAGCTGGCCCCGCACGGGGGGCGCGGCGGAGACCACAGGCCCGCTTTGTGGCCCTGGCCGCGGCCGCGGCGGCATATCCATCTTGCGTGGCAGGCGTTCCCGAGGGGTGGGGGCGGGGCGCCGCCGCCCCCTTATCGCGGAGTCACAGCCGGCGAGGCCCTAAGTGGGGGCGGGGACGGGACCCCCCCCCTCGGCCGAGCCTGTCGTCCCTGCTCCCTCCCAGGAGGGCCCGGCCGAGGCGCAGCCGGAGGCGCGGGGCCAATTAGCATTTTGATTGCGGGACTGGGGGCCCATCTGGACCGAGGCCTAATTACCGGGCAGACCCTCCGGGCGCGGGCTGGACGTGCCCGGCACAGTCCCTTCCGCAGCGCCACAGGCCCCCGCCCCAAACTCCTCCCGGACAACCGCCCCTGCCTCCTCTCTGACTTCATCCCTGTTCCCTCCTCTAGCCCCAGTCACTTTATCCCTGTGCTCGTGTGTTCCTGGCCCCTTCCCTCATTCTCCCGCTCGGCTGCCCATCCTCTTGTTCACGCCCTCTGTTCGTGCCCCTTCCCCTTTTCCGTCGTTTTTCTGTTCCTCCATCCAACCTCCCTGTCCCTCCATCCCCTGGTTCGCTGTCCGTGTCCCTTTCCCTCTCTCAAGTTCCCCGCCCCCCCCTGGCTCCCAACCTTCTTGACGGACAAGTCGTCAGGGCCCAGACACATGTGTCCCACGGCAGGGCGATCCCGAGGGGACTATGCGGGCAGGCCTTGATCGTGCTCGCTCAGGTGGAGTCCGCAGCCCCTGGAGGCGCCTGGCGGGGAGGGGCAGGTGGGCCCAGGCCTCGGCCATCAGCCCGCAGTGGCTGGGTTGCAGAGCACACATGCGGCCCTTCTCAATTACTTGGGCCTCCTCGCTCCGCCTTCTTTCCAGCGCCCCTCCTGCCTCTACCAGGATCTCAAGGTCGCTGCGCCCCAGTCTTGGGGTCCAGCTGGGAGGGACTGGGGAAGGAGATGGTGATTCTCATGCTTTTGGAAACTTTCAGCTGTCCTCCACCAGAGGCCACCCTGAATCTCTCCCACTGAGGGCTGGAGGCCAGAGGTTGGGGGGGGGGTGGCTTTGTTGCAGGGGAGGACAGGGGAAGATAAGGCTGCTTTGGCCTTGTCTGGACCCAGCCAGCTGAGGGTTACTCCAGCCCTCAGGGCATTAGCACCCAGGGTGCTTGGTCTGTCCCGCCTGCCCCCATAGAGCCTCTGGTCCTCGGAGACTCTGTCGCCTCCGTTCTCTCCCCTCCGTCCGAGTCCATGTTGCAGCTAGGCCCAGACTCTTACCCACCTGGGGTGAGGGAATGCAGTGTTGGTTCTGTGTCCCTCTATATCCCTCTGCTTCTGGGCATGCCACCTCCAATCCTGCACAGGTCCCCTGCTGCTGGAAGGCCAGGCTTTAAAGGGGAGACTCACTGAGTTATGTCCCCAGCATCTGGCCCCCAGCAGAGCCAAGATCCCTGTGTTTGCTCACTCCTGAACCCTGTGGTCACCTTCTCATCCCCCTCCACTCCAGCAGGGCTCCAATCCAGTCTAGCCTAGCCTAGAGGGTCCACTCCTCTTTCTGGATCCCTCTCCCTGACTTCCAGGATCCTACTCTAGCTAGGAGCCTGTTTTGGTCTGGCCCCTTGGCACCCCAACACCCCCCTCCTCAGCCTTCTCTTCAGTAAAATGGGGGATGGGGTGCTTTCCTGAAAACCAGTTGGAACCCTGTGTGCATAGTGGGCTATCCATGACAGCTCATTCTGTTTCCCAACAGTGAGGTGAGACTTGCCGCTCAGAACAACCACTCCCCACCTGCTCCTAGAACCCATGGGCAGCCCAGGACACAGGTACCAACCAGAAAGACAGACCAGGTCATAGGTTGGATCATGAGAGCAGGAGGGGGTAGAGCCCAGGCCTGGGAGACAGTTGTGAGCTGTAGCCTCTGTCCAGAGGAGCTGGGGTTGTGTTGAGTCTGAGGAGCTACCCAGAGGCCAGTGGAGAAAAGCAGAGCGGCTGGGGCTGGGCGCATCCGGGTTTGGGCTTTTCCCAGGTGAGCTTCTAAAAGGTGCACCAGAGCCCAGGGGGTTTGCAAGAGAGAGGTGACAGTGATCGTGGGATCTAAATGGGGCGAGGACATGGCAGGGTGGGGGCCCGGGGTGCCGCGGTCAGCGTCTGCAGGACTGAGCTGGGGGCTAGGCGATGGGCTGAGAAGGGGGTGTCGAGTTGAAATGGCAGAGTGGGGGTGAGGGGAGACAGTTACTGATGGTGACAGGGTCGGGGCATAACGGGCAGAGGACGAGGTCGCTGGCAGGAAGAGGAGGTCAGGACTGAGGGGCAGGAGTTGAAGGGCGGTCAGGAGAAGTTGAGACCACCAGGAATTCATCCCTGGCTCAGCGACGGGGCGGTGCCCACAGCAAGGGCTGGTGTGGGCGGTTGGCACGGCGGTTGGCACAGCGGATGGCTCGCGTCGGCTGGGACTCCTGGAGGGAGGAGTGGGGAAGGGGCCGCAGGCCACAGTGAGGAACAGGGCCGGTGGGTGCCCCCCTTCCAGGCCAGGGGGCTGAGGTGGGGAGAGAAAAATCAGCCCTCAGAGAAGGCTGGCGGGAAGGGAGCAGGGCAGAGGGGAGCAGGGTTTCCCAAGGGAAAGCGAAGGCCCAGCAATGGGGCTGAGGTTCTCCGTGGGAGGGGCTGCTGGTGAGCGGCTCCAGGCTTGTGAGGACAAGGGCTTGAGGCAAAACAGGTCCCTCCTGGGACAGGAGCTTCCACACTACAGAGGAGAACGAGGCAACTATAAATGTCTACTCGAAAAAGACAAGGTAGGGTCCTGGGTGGCTCGGTTGGTTAAGCAGCTGACTTCGGCTTCTGGCATGATCCTGGAATCCCAGGATCCAGTCCCACATCGGGCTCTCTGCTTGGCGGGGAGTCTGCTTCTCCCACTGACCTCTCTGCCTCTCTCTCAAATACATTTTTTTTTAAATCCTTAAAAAAAAAAAAAGACAAGACAAAGAGCAAATATCGAAGTAGTAGAAAACATTTGTATAACAATGGGTTAATATTCTGATTATAGAATAGCTACTATAA